TGCAGGTTAGGAGTGAGGGACACTGGCAGGCGTGGGGGGCTGTGGCTTGGGAGTGAGGGGCACCAGGGGGTCGGGGGACTGAGAGTCAGGAGCACAGGACAAAGGCAGTGTTAGAGGGGTGTGGGTTGGGAATGAGGAGTATCAGCAAGGATGGGGGGAGGGGGGTTGTAGGTTGGAAATGAGGGGCACTACCCATCCCTTCTCCTCCACTGGCCTGGATCAGGCCCACTGACCCACCTCCCCTCCAGCACCCCAGGTCCCCACTCGCTGCCCCACCTCCCCCCCCTCTCTTGTGGCTGCCCGTGCTGTCTGTCCCAGGGCAGCAGGCAGGGAAGGGTTAAGCTACCTGCTCCACTGCTGCTCTCTGGGTGGGCTCAGCCGCAAGAAGAGCAGCAGCCTGGCATCGGTGGCTGGACAGCCAGGTTACCTTCCCTGCCTGCTCCTCTGTGACAGACAGCCAGGCAGCTACAAGTAGGTGGGGGTGGGAGGGGTGGTTTGGGGGAACCCTGAGGGGCAGGGACAACTGGGGAACCCTGGGGGGAAACCTGGAATAGGAGGAGAGGGATTCTTACCTTTCAGCCCTCCAGGCCCTTGCTGGCCTGAAGTGTGACTATGCCAAACTCATGCTAGCACTTACACCCGTCAACATTTGTGTGGCTCACTGTGTCAGGTGTAACAAGGCCTTAGGCACCCCAGAATGCCTGTAGATGTGCCAGGAGACTGCTGCAACGTGCTGTAATTATAGTGTGTTGGAGCAGGCTTGATTAATTATTTCATAGTTTTGTAGATTCATAGATGTAGGGTTGGAAGGGACCTAAGTAGATCATCAAGTCCGACCCCCCTGCCCTGGGCAGGAGAGAAAACTGGGCTCATATGACCCCAGCCAGGTAATTATTAAGCCTCCTCTTAAAGACCCCCAAGGTAGGAGCCAGCACCACTTCCCTTGGAAGTTGTTTCCAGATCTTAGCTGCCCTGACTGTGAAATAGTGTCTTCTAATGTCCAGCCTGACCCTACTCTCAAACAACTTATGGCCGTTATTCCTTGTTACTCCGGGAGGTGCACAGGTGAACAGGGTCTCTCCCATTCCCCGCTGGTCCCCCCTGGTAAGTTTGTAGATGGCCACCAGGTCCCCTCTCAGCCTTCTCTTGTAAAGGCTGAACAGGTTCAGGTCCTGTAGCCTCTCCTCATAGGGTCTGCCCTGCTGCCCCCTGATCATGCGAGTGGCCCTCCTCTGGACCCTCTCAATGCTGGCCACATCTCTCCTGAAGTGCAGGGCCCAGAACTGGATGCAGTACTCCAGCTGCGGCCTGACCAGTGTTGCATAGAGGGGGAGGATCACCTCCTTGGCCCTGCTTGTGATGCATCTGTGGATGCATGACAAGGTGCGGTTGGCTTTACTGACTGCGACCTCACATTAGCAGCTTATCTTCATTTTGGAATCAATAATGACACCAAGATCCCTTTCTGCCTCTGTGCTTTCAAGAAGGGAGCTCCCCAGCCTATAGGTATGCTGCTGGTTCTTATTGCCCAAGTGCAGTACGCTGCACTTGTCAGTATTGAATCCCATCCTATTCTCATTCGCCCACCCTTGTAACCTGTCCAGGTCCAGCTGTATCCTGTCCCTCCCTTCTAGAGTGCCCACCTCACCCCAGATCTTAGTGTCGAGCTTTAGGTAAATCACCCCTTTGATGAGCTTTCAGTAAAGTACCCCTGCCACCATTTTGAAACATGTGGATGCTGATACACAAGATGCTCTGTGCACTTTCCTTAGAGCGGCTCTCAGAGCTGTTCTAATTAAAGAACTCCCCTACCCCCAGAGCATGTGTAACAATGCCTTAAGTATTTTTGTGGATTTGGTCCCCTGACTTTAAGAAGAGACTACTGCAGGGGTGGGCAAAATGCAGCCCATGGGCCGGATGCGACCTGCCAGGCCATTCTATGCAGCCCGTGGGGCCCCTGAGAAATTTAGAAAATGAATATTTATCTGCCCCTGGCTGCCTATCATGCGGCCCTCAATGACTTGCCAAAACTCAGTAAGCAGCCCTCTGCCCGAAGTAGTTGCCCGCCCCTGGACTACTGCATAGGCTCAATGAACTCAGCGTTTTTCTCATGTTCAAATTCCCACTATAGACTGATACAATAGGAACAGTTTACTACTTGTATCCAATGTCAGCATTTGTATATAGGTGTAAAGTTTGCCCATTGGTCTATTACATAACCACTCTGATGTCTTATATTCATCTTCATTACATTCATCTCTGATATTTATTATATAATCCAATGCATTCTTGATTTTTCAGCTTGCTGTTGGAGTCAGGTAACATATCAACTTTACTTAAACAGCGTACCTTATTTCTTCTGTTTTTCTAGACTCCTCAGAAATGTTCCAAGCTTCATAATGAAATGGATCCAGGCAAGAAAGAAAAAACAACCGCACACAGAGAATATTTTCAGACTTGTTGTCCACATACAAGTAAGCATTATTTCTTGGCAAATACAGTTAATTGTAATATTACATCCATTTCAGTGTACCATAAAGGACACCAAATTAGTGAAGTTTCAGTAATTGTCATCATTTTCAAAGAGTACTGCTGGGAGGTGTGCCAGAAATGTAAGTATTTAGAAAGTAGCTGTCATAGTTATGACATAGGACTAACACTGGACTAAATTTACAGGGAATGATTTATTATTAGATTCATTGAGACCATTTTTCTGTTTGTGAGTCACTCACAAATAGGCCAAGTATGTTATAAATTTCTTCTTTACTTGAAAGTGGATGCTGAATGTTTTGTGAATACATTCTAAGCAAGAACTTGCTTATGAGCTTTTTACTTCAAACCCAGGAGGAAGGGGTGGAAAAGGCCTTCTTTAAACAATTGATAGAAGCTTCTAAATGCAGGACCTGGTTTTCATGTGTTTCTTTAATTACTAGGACACCTGCTGGGAGGGAAACACAGCAGTGCAAAAGCAGTGCAGCAAATTCTTGAATTGTGTTGGGGATAACTTTTTGATACAGATGATAGAGAGGCCAGCTAGGGGGGAAGCTCTTTTTGACTCGCTGCTCACAAACAGGAAGGAATTAGTTGAGAATGTGAGGTGGAAGGTAACTTGGGTGACCATGAAATGATGGAGTTCAAGATCCTCAGGGAAGGAAAGAAGAAGAGCAGCAGAATAAGGATACTGGACTTCAGAAGAACAGACTTTATCAAACTCGGGGAACAGGTGGGCAGGATCCCATTGGAACCAAGTCTGAGGGGAAAAGGAATCCAGGTCCGCTGTAAAAGAGACCCTTTTTAATGGCATAGGAGCAAGCTATTCTGATAAGATGGAAGAATGGGAAATGCAACAGGAGGCCAGTCTGACTTGACAGAAATCTCTTCAAATTCAGAAAGCAATCCTACAAAAAAATAGAAACTTGACCACCATAATAGGGAAGAGTATAAGCGCACTGCATGGACATGCAGGGAGAAAATTAGGAAGGTCAGGACATGAATTGAGATGCAGCTGCCAAGGGACATAAAAGGGATTCAACAAGGATGTTAAAAGTAAGAGGAAGATCAGAGAAACCATAGAGTCCTTACAGAATGTGGAAGGCAATCGAGTTATGGATGATGCAGAAAAGGGTAAGGTATTTAATGCCTTTTTTAACTTAATTTTTCACAAATAGGCCCAGTTACTTTCTGACCAGGGATCCTGTTTTTCTCTGTTTAAAAAGTGCAAATTCTCTGATTAAACCCCCCAAATCTATGTTTTTCCATGATTAAAATGAAACGTCACTATATAATATAGATATAGGTCTCAGTGGAACACAATGTTTTATTGATATATTTATAATTTAAAGCAGTTTGGAAGCCCACCAGTGCCTCAATTATTATAATGAAATAAATTCTAAATACCTATAATTTTAGCATTTGATTTTGGGTTTTTATCATGAAAAATCAGAGCTCCCCTTGCCCCCTTTTCTCACCAGGATGTGGGTCCAGCTGTGGCTGCCCCCCACAACTGTTGCTTTATGACACTTAGCAGCCCTGCTACGCTGGTGCCCTGCCCCTGCCATTGCTCCTCATTCCTAAGCCACAGCCTGCCCCAGCCCTGCCCCACTCCTAACCCACAGCCCCCTGGCCTTGCTGATGCCCCTCACTCCCGACTGACAGCTCCCTGGCCCCCTACCGGAAGGGGCCCCCAGCTGCTAGGGCTACAGGACCTGGTGGCTGCGTCCTGCCTGTTTCTTGGCAAACAGGTGCTACCCACAGCTGGCCAGCAGTGCCCAAGCCCTGGCTGCTGCACGCTGCTGTAGCCAGAGTGGAGTGCAGAGCCCAGCCCTCCCCACCCTCGCAGGTAGCACAGCTAGAACTGAGCTGAGCAGAGTCTCTGCAGGGCAGAATGGGGCGGGGGGATGCAGACTGCCCCCTGTGTGGCTTGGGGCTCCCTGCCCTTCCCTGGGGGTCTCTATGGCCCAGCTGGCAGGACCTGGAGCAGGGTGGTGAAACTCGGTGCTGCTGCCATCATCACCAGGACCCCTGTGCCAGCCATACCACCATGGCGAAGTGCCCCCTGCCCACTTGGTAGCAGCAGGGGCAGCAGTAGTGTGGAGGTTTGTCCCCCACTGCTACCAGGTGGGCAGGGTGTGCTTCAGACATGGTGGTACTGCTGTCATGGGGCTCCTGGTGGTGACTGCAGCAGCATTGAGCCTCCCCACCCCACTCTGCCTTTCTGCCCTGGGTCCTGCCCACTGGGCTGCAGAGGCCCCTGGGGGGAGGGCAGCAGAGTGGGGAGCCCTGAGCCCCACAGTGGGCACGCTGCATTCTTCCCTGCCCCACAAACAAATCTGGGTGGGGGTAATGTGCCCCCTCAGTGCATCACCTCTGGCACTCAACCCCTCCCCAGGAGGTCAAGACAGGTCCCAGATTGGAAAAGGGCAATATAGTGCCCATCTTTTAAGAAAGGGAAGAAGGAGGATCTGGGGAATTTCAGACCAGAGACTTGTAGTCTGACCTTGATACCTGGAAAGACCATGGAGCAAGTCCTCAAGGAATCTATCATGAAGGAGCTAGAGGAGAACAAGGTGATCGGGAACAGCAAGATCAAATCATTCCTGACCAACCTGGTTTCCTGCTATGATAAGGTCCCAGGCTCTGTGGATGAAGGGAAATCAGTGGATGTTATATACCTTGACTTTAGCAAGGCTTTTAACATTGTCTCCCACAACATTCTCATTAAGACGCTAAGAAAATACGAATTAGACAAAATACCGTAATGTGAATTCATAAATGGTTGGATTATTGTGCTCAATGAGTAGTCATCAATGGTCCAATAATTAGTTATGAGGAGGTATCAAGTAGGGCTCCCCAGGTGTCTGTCCTGGGTCCAGTATTTTTCAACATATTCATTAATGATTTGGATAATGGGACTGAATGCACACTTGGCAAATTTGTGGATGACACCAAGTTGGGTGGAGTTTTAGACACTCTGGAGGCCAGAGAATGAACTGGATAAACTCAAAAAATGGTCCACAGTCAGTCAGATGAGATTCAAGGACAAGTACAAAGTCCTGTACTTGAGATGGAATAATTGCATGCACAAATATGGACTGGGGAATGTTTGGCTGGGCTGCAGCACTGAAGAAAAACACCTGGGTGTTACGATGAACTCTAGAATGAATATTAACCAACAGTGTGCTCTTGTTACAAAAAAAAGCCAACAGTATACTGGATTGTATTAACAGGAGTGTCAGTGATGTATGGGATTTATGTCTTTAATTATTTAATTGTCTGATAATATAACAAAACAGTTTAATTTACAAACTCAAATATTAATCATGTAGGCTCTGATCCTGAAAATCATTCTTTAGTGCAGAGCTGTGATTCTGTACAGAGACCTTTAGAGTCAATGAAGAGTCAGTATTCGGGTCCACAGCCTTAATGAAAAATAATCATACTACAATACCCAGCTACAGGTCAGTTGCATCATACGCACATTTAACTTGCACGACTTCAACTATACGCGGGGTGGGAGGGGGGGGCGGGGCTTGAGTTTGCACGCGGCGCTGCCGCTTACCTGGAGGCCCATTATGGCGGTGATGGCCACTGCCTCCAAAACCTCCCGTTGTTGCCATAGAGCCGTGCCCGGAGCGGTGTGGCCAGCCGCCGGACAGCAGCAGCAGCATGGTGGTGGCCGGGTGGCACGCAACCATCCCCACCACCACCCCACGCTGCACCGCTGCTGCTGGCTGCACAGCTCTAAGCATGGTGCCGTGTGCAAACTCAAGCCCCGCCTCCCCTCCCACCCTGCGTATAGTCACCGATTTTCGCCTTATGCGATTTTCACCTTACGCGCTGACTTCAGCACCTAACCCTCACATAAGATGCAACTGACCTGTAGTTATTAATGCACTGACTGATATCAAGCACCATGAGGAACATACAAAGTCATGGACCGTGAAAACATACATTTCTGTTGATGTAGTAAAACAGCCCATCTATAAACATTTCAGGATTTTCTCTTTTTATTCTCCTTTAGAAACAGTTGTTGCTGAGAGTGCATCACTAGCTGAATCAGCTGCTGCTTATATTGCTAAACCAACACAGAAATATTTGCTAAATAAAGTGGAAGTTATAACAGGAGAAGAAGCAGAACACAATGTATTACAGGTATACAGTTCATAAAGACTGCATGATGAATATTTATTATGGTTTGAAACACATCATAGCTAACTTATGTTGACATGAACATATACTACTACTTTGGTAGCATACAAACTATCTGTATACATTTTCCCCTTTAAAATATATCTTTTTAAAACTAATCTTCTGACAAGATGGTATGCAGATTTTTATTTTATATTATCTGTACTGAATATAGTTTTTCCACCAAGTGATCATGTTCCACAACCTCCTTCTGCTGTTACCTGTTTATAACTGTCCTCAGAGTAGGTCACTGTACCCTAGGGCCAAAAATTAAAACCTCTTAAATTATGAGAGATGTAACACCCAGCTAGAATTAACCCATTATTCTTTGTACTTTTTAGACAAATATCTAACTTGATACAAACTGTAATATAAAAAGTTGTAGAGCAGAAGCATCAGCAATGTAAACAAATGCAATTTTGAAGCAACATTCTATTTCAATTAGTTTCTAAAATATTTTTCCATTAGATCAATTGCAAGCTCTATGTGTTTAATAAACTATCATTATCCTGGACTGAAAGAGGCAGAGGATCCTTGAGGCTCAATGACACTTCAAGCAACAGATGTGGAATGTTACAGTCAAGGCTAGGTAACCTTTCATCTCACTTCTAAATCATGCTATGATTTGCCATAGTCAACTGAATCTTAGCATGTTAGCAACTCTGTAGTCAACTTTTATTTATATGAAGTTGCTGAAAGTCTTTTAAATACTTCATGATAAAATTAGCTGTCCACAAACCTCACTTGCCACTACAGGTTTTTTTTGCTAAGCTGTGTGAGGGCACTTACTGATGTCATTAGGCACTATGTATTTCTACTGCAAGATATTTGTAGTACAACTGTTATTCCTCTGATTCAGGTTTTCCAAAGGCAGTGTTGCTTCCAAATGACTTATGGGATGTTTTGTTTACCAAACTGAAGTTTCTCCTATTGCAATATATGGTTTTAAAAGAATGTTTTGTTGTCTCATAAGCCAAGGGTATAAAATACTGAGAGGAACTTAATTTTGATATATTAAAACTGATTGTTTAAAGGCCACTGTAAAAAGGACAGGTTATAATCCTGTGAAATGCAAAAATAAAGAGAGTGATGTGCTGCAATAGCAAAGGGAGGATGTTTTCATAGAATCTGATATACGTAATCATTGTTTTTTAGTTATGAGAAATCAAGGCAGCTTGAGACTGATCCTCAACACTAAACTCTGGCCTCAGATGATGATAGAGAGAGGAAATCACAAGAGTCTGTGCATTACTGCAGTGGACCAAGAAGACTGTTCTGTTAAAGTATTTCTTATACAGGTAGGAGAAAAACCAAAACCACTATTGGGAATTTTGCAGTCTGGCTCAAGTCCTTGTTCTGGGAAGCTTCCAGCTTTGTTGTATTAATCATCATTATAGTAAAGCCTTAAAATGGAAGAAGAATTACCATTGGTGGCAGTGAAAGTCTTGTACAGACTAAAGCTACCCTTACAGCCGTAGGTGATCAGATGAGTGCATTAGGCAGCCAGCAGGGTTCACTAAAGCAATGATGCAAAAAGTCAGTTTGTTATGCTGGGAGCCCACTGGCTGCTCTCTGGTGCTGAATATTTTCACTGTCTTTTAATGTTAATACCCTTCATATCAGCAGTTACTATATATGGCAAAGAGGATGTTATTCAAAGTGATCTTCATGAGAAGTAGAAGTAGTAATATCTACAGCCACAGAAAGAGCAAAAGGGGCTGTCCACAAGATTCTTTAGTCAGATGGAGTTTACAGTACAAAAATATAAAAATTACCAGTATAAACAGCTATTTTGGTCAGATAATTTTTAACATATTTGCAACCTTAGACTGGTTTTGTACCTAGAATGCTACAAATGACTTGGGGGTGATGATGATGTTTGCTATTGAAATGCCAAACCAAGTGGCTTTTAGTGGCTTTCTTTTATGTAAATCTGGAGTGAAAGGAATGCTGTGCTGCAAACATGAGCAACCTAAAAAAGATGCTGATACTCTACTGCTTTTCAGTGTGTGTGACTATTTACACTTGTACAAACTGGGAGAAGAAAACATCAGTCTTATTTTGCAATTGGGTATAAAACTACCAAATCAGAGTAGGATCTTTCTATTCCAATTGGCATAAGGATAAATAATGCCATATGATTCAAAGCACTAGAGAATCAGGGCCCAGCAGACGAGTTTTCAATTATCTGCTGCCTTTCACCTTCACTAGAAGAGGTCATGACATCTTTTAGTTTTAATTTTGGTTGTTAATTCTTTGTTCCCCACTTGTAAGCAAAAATGCTAAACATGTATATTTATTTATACATAAATAATATGTATCTATATTATACAGATATACTAATGTATGTATATCTATAGTTGTGTGTATATGTATTATATAGTGTGTGTGTGTGTGTGTGTGTGTGAAAGTTTCTATGTGTTGTTATTGTTAGAAATATGTTTAGTTGGTGTGGAACTGCAGTGAATCTGGAATAAGAAGTGTTTAAAAAAACTTAGCCATTCACCAAGCTGCATCATTTTTATTTTAAGCCTCTGTCTATTATATCAAGATGGAAAGCAATCAGTGTGTACATTTTAATAAACTCTAAACCACTTAGATAAACATGACATTATTTTCATTTAAGCTTCTGAAAAGTCAGTAACTTAAAATCTTAGATTTCATAGACATTAGGGCTGGAAGGGACCTTGCGAGATCATTGGGTCCAGCCCCCTGCCCAAGGGGCAGGAAGTCAGCTGGTGTCAGATGACCACAGCAAGATAAGCACCCAAGCATAACTTAAAGGTATCCAGAGTAGGTGGTTGCACCACTTCTTGGGAGAGTCTATTCCAGACTGGAGACTCGGATGGTAAAGAAGTTTTTCCTTATGTCCAGTCTAAAATGGTCTTCCTGTAGTTTGTGACTGTTAGACCTTGCCTTCCCTTGTCTTATATAAATTATTTGGATACAGAAAGACAGAATCTCTGCAGAAGAGATTTTTTGCTCTTTTCAGTACTTGAAAACTGTGTCTGGTTTTCAGTGATCGTTGAGCTACAGCATTACTTTTCTGTTCTCTTCAAAGCACTGTGCATTTTGTTCCATACAGGCAAGTTCAAAAGATGTTCAATACCTGTATGCAGCAATACACCACCGTCTTGTTGCATTGCAAAGCTTCGTGGAAAAAGAATCAGATACTAATCAAGTAGATACGGAGCCAGAAGCAGCCTTTTGTACGCTAATCTGTGGCAGTGATGATGAGGAGGAGGAAGAAATAACTCAAGTAAGCAGCAATAAATCAGGTAAGCAGAAATCTCTGTAGGAAGTCTGTGCTCCTTTGTTTTGTGGCTTCATTTTTAGTTTTCATTTTTCCTTTTGCTTTCCATCAAAGTCCCTATGCTGTGATGACCTCACTCCAGCAGTTAATTAGAGTTTTACCATTTTAAGTGGCTACATTCAGCGGGGCCAACTTCTTCTGGAACAAATGTCTTTAATCTTTATAACTAGAATCCTTTTTAGGCAAAATGCTGAGGGCCAGTTCTAGATTGGGTCCTCAGATGCCACCAACTTAAATTTTGGCATACCTAAAAATTAGGCATCTAGCCGTAGGAGAGTTATTCAAACGAATATAGTTGTGTACCTAAACTTACCATACACCCAGCTGGGAGAGGTAGGCACCTTGAAATGTGAAGAGGCTACCTAAAGCAGGAAGTAAAGCTAATTACAACCTTCACTTCAGAGCAGTTTGCATAGTCCACAAAGTGGCTGAAACCAACTGTAGACAAGTCAAAGTACAGTAGAGATACAATGGCTGGAGTTTAAATCTCCCCTATCCTTAGCAGAAGGTAGGGAATACTTCCTTATGAATACCTCTGCATGGCCAGAACTGCCTTATGGAGGCACATGTTGCAAATTGCTCTTCTGGGTGGAAATTGTTTTTTGATGTTTGATTTATCACTAGCCACATTACTTTTTTCTTTGATACTCAACTGCCCACTGTCTCCTATTATGTTTTTTAAAGAGCAGATTTTCATATAACTATTCAGAAAGCATCAAATAAAGTACACATAACAGTCCTGAGTGACTGTTTACTTTTAGAAAACAAACAGGCCTTTTAGCAAAAATATGACAGTTTACAGTACTTGTTCCCATGATCATTTATTTTCTAACAGTATTTCAGTAGCATTCAGTTTTTCTAAACAAAATGTGCTGCTGTTACACAACAGATTTTTTTCCAAGTACTCATTTTTCCTTTCAGCAACAGGAAAATTCTGAGTGCTGAGAATTCTCTTGTTATCCCCAAATAATCAAACCCTCTCTGTATCCTTCTGAAGTAGCCTTCATTTCATTTTTCAAAGGGTTTCTATTAATTTGAAAACTCTGTATAAGTCAAATTCCTTCCCAGAATTATTGATGGTAAGCACTCTTTGTTCTTTCACAAAAGTTGAGATGAATGTTAAGGTCAAAACAGTGTAGAGGTGCAGATTTGCAAGTTAAATATTTATTTTGTTTTGCAAAGATTTCTGATGCAACAGTGGTATGGCAAACTAAATCTCAGATCTGTGTAACAGTGCACAAGATTAAAGGATAATAATGCTATCTCTGGTTTTTCCTAGCCACTTCCTCCACACTTCTATCTTTCATTTTTCTCCAAATGGTCAGTGATAATAGTATTTATGGTACCTTTCAACATAGCTCATGTGTGGCTTTTAGCATTTCTTGCTTTATCTTGATTGCTTCTGTTATCTTCATAACAATTGGGTCTTCATTCTGTGCAGTTTTCAACTTCAGTACCCCAACGTCACCTTAAACCCCTATGTCTACCTACATTCATACAATCCAGTCTTGCTGAATGTTCTGCTGTGACTTCTTTTAGAATAGAATACATACAAATGTTTGCTCTTGCAGGAGAAACTCTCCTGGGAGTGATTTAACTCTGGTTCTTTCCAGTTTATTTTTCTCCTGGAACAGCCATTTTTGCACTGGAAAAAAATCCTGAACATCTGTATACCTGTGGTTTCTCCTGTAAGCACAGGGACTCTCCCAGGGCACTTACCCACGTGCAGAGTCTGCTCTGACATGCTGGAAATCCAGTGTTTTGGAGCAGGCTCAATTAATCAAGTCTGCTGGAGCACATAATTGACATGCCTGCCGCTGCATCAGATGCAGTTGTACCAATGACGCAGTGCATGTTAGTGCTGAAAAAATGGTGGGCGGTACGCTTTGAACTAAAACACATTTAAAGTGTTTTAGTTCATAGCACACCATCACCAGTTCCTCAGCACTGATGCATGCTGAGCCACTTATACACCTGTACCTGATGCAGCACTGGGTGCTTTTAATTAGCATTAAAAGTGCCCCGTGCTGTGTTGGGAGCACATGTAGAAATGCCCTAAATGTCTCTATGTGGTCTAAGCAATTGAATCTAGCTGTTGAATCTCACTTTTTTCTCCTAGATTAAATTTCTTAAGGTTCTTAAAACCGCTGCATCATAGGGGTTAACGAGAAACTTCTAATCTTCCCTAGCATTATTACTGCCTCATCAACAATGCTGGTGAAGAAAAAATAATAAGATTCCAATTCGTAAACCTAATAATGAGTAAAACAAGAGCTGAAAGCAATCTTTTCTTTTACTATCCTGCCAAACTTGGACTTGTGGATTCTGTGGTACGTGCAGTGGTTATTAGTAACACTTAGTGAACCTATATTTTCTATTAAAATCAAATTTCTTTTTCTATCATTATATTATGATATGACTCGTATAGGGCATCTAAGTCTCATATTACAAATTACCCATCACAAAGATCAGACTGCAGTCAACCTAGCATTATGATATTTGGGGTCCAGTCAAAAGTTATTAAGTACTTGCTATGAAGTAATGAAAACACTTCCAATTCCAAACAGTGTTCCGTTTTAAAACGAGGTCTTTAGATAACATTCTACACCATATAGCATCAAGCCTGAAATATGTATGCCTGTAAGTAATAATCAGTAATCTGACCTGAGTTATCACACTGATTTAATTAGGGGGGACCAGAAGGGTTTGGGGAAGACCTTGTTTCCCCTAGCGCCCCCTGGGATGACAGGGAATAATGACCACAAGTTGTTGGAGGGTGGGTTTAGATTGGACATCTGTAAGAACTACTTCACAGTCAGGGCGGCTAGGATCTGGAACCGACTTCCAAGGGAAGTGGTGCTGGCTCCTACCCTGGGGGTCTTTAAGAAGCAGCTTGATGCCTACCTGGCTGGGGTCATTTGAGCCCAGTTTTCCTCCTGCCCAGGCAGGGGGTCAGACTTGAAGATCTACAAGGTCCCTTCCGACCCGACTTCTATGATTCTATGAATTGCTTGCTGTCCTGTAAAAAACGTTTGTGGATATGCCTGAGTTTAGTTAGATTATATGCATCTAACCCAAGAACATACTTTAAAGTTATAACCTATTATACTAATAGGTTATAACTATATATATATAGTATATAGGTGCCTATATACTAATGCTAGGAGCATGGGAAACAAGCAGGATGAACTAGCGCTCCTGCTTACACAAAACACCTACGACTTAGTAGGGCTAACGGAAACCTGGTGGGATTCGTCCCACGATTGGGCGGTACATATTGAGGGTTATAGATTGTACAGAAAGGACAGGGTGGGGAAAAAGGGGGAGGGGTTGCTCTCTATGTCAATGAGTAATATATGTCAACCCTCATCAAGACGGACTCCAAGGATGAGGAAGTAGAAGGATTGTGGGTTAGGCTACATGGGGGGCAAGGAGAAAGGGATTTGGTGGTAGGGGTCTGCTACAGACCCCCACATCAAGGGGAAGAAATAGATGCGGGGCTCCTGAGGCAGCTCTCAGAGGCCAT